ACTTCGTTAAACTTTCTCCTAGTTGGTGTTGGTGATACCACTGGAAAATGTCTCTCATTAACCTCGCCCGAGGTTTGGGCACACTCCCCCTGCATACGCGCGTTCGCCGTTGGTTGGGATTAGCGATGATATTAAAGCTCATTTCAGTGTCTTCTCCCAAGGTTTGAGTACACGACCCAACTTGCCCTCCCAACTTTTTTTTATTTAGCACAAATATTGGGATCTAATTTGTTCCCTGGCATGCCCCGCTCGTCCTCCCCCCGAAAATCAGGTGTGCGTGAGCCTGTGGGGTGCGCTTCACACTTTCCCCAGACGACCCCACGACATAATCCTACCGAAAAACACCTAGGCTTATGTTAAACTGCATGTAAAAATTGGTTATACGCTTTTCCAACCCCCAACCCTGATAGGACTCGCGAAAGAGAATGCAACACTGAGTAATACAGGTGACCCCGCGCCAAATTTCAGAGAGGGCAATTATTGTCGAGTCCTAACCCTAACCTAGACCGTAAGCCAGGCGCGAATTTTTCTTAGAAATTTCCCAGAACATAAACAGTCGTTTTTTATGAATGAGCAACTGTATCAGCTTATACGATCTTGAAGACGCTAGAGAGAAGGGTAGTAATTAATTCTTTTACTCACCCCCTGCATCGAATCTTCAGTAGGATTTTATCAGCGGAAACAATTCAATAAAGTCATATCCATGTGCTAAGATTTACTGAATACTGACGGGGTGTAATTTTTCAGTTTATTTGGTGAGTGAAATAGGCAAATGCCTTTGAAAACCCTATTGATCACAAGGCTGCGCGTTATATGTATATACACACACACACACGTTAAACTGTTAATATTAAAATACTATTGACAAACAGTGAGTGGTATTATTTTACGGACAGATACGTAAGGGCGGAATACGAAAGAATGAGTTACAGGTTTCAACTGAGTTTACTCAACAGCCTGAAACCTAAGCCTTATTACTTTGGTGCTTCGAATAAAAACTCGGACCCCTCATAATAGACCCCAACGGTGAGAATCTCTTGAGTCACCAGCTATCTGAGTCGCAGTTCACAGGCTCCCAATGCAAAGTTACAAATGACTCTCTAGGTAGAGTTGTTACTGACGGGAGCTCCTCAAATAAATATTGTCCTAGAAGAGTGTAGATAAGAGCAGCAATGTCTATTGATTGAAGCGCTAATGTCAATACGGATGAGATAGGTACAGAAGGTGCTTATTCGAATGCGATCACGTGAGCTATTATCGCGCTAGTCACGAACGTGGACAATCAGTGAATAGAATGCAACCCGCTAATTAAAAAATATTCAGCTGCAGAGTAAACATCAGCCTCCTGCGACTCCTTATCGCTGTCACCGTTTCAGTTTCCTGTTATGCGTTCGTGTATAAATACGAGGCGATGGGTAAGTAATATTCTTGCTCTAGTGATAGCACATTTGATGAGGACTGAGGCTGTCTTGTCAGACATGGCCATAACCGCCCCTGAAAGTGTTGGCACATAGCGGTTACCGATCACTTTCCGTCGGTTCTAGCGGATTAACTCCGGCGGTCACAAGCGCGCTGACCTCTATATTCGTGAGTTCACGCAAACCCGGTCATACAAGTCAATTGACACTTTCGTCATTAAAAAACAAAGTGGACTACCAGCTCGGTTTTACTAGCGTCTGAAATCTTCGGAGGACTGTCTGGCATCAGACAGCAACGGGAAATAGAAAGCAAATTTAGGGTCAGGCCGCTGTTCAAGGGTGAGCGGATGTTCATTATTTATGCATACGCAAATGACACACGGTCCCAGCATCTCAAGCTGGTTCGTGGAGATAGCCAAAATGGGGTAACATTATACATGTTAGAAAGTGGCCTGGAGAAGAACAGTGAAGACCGGCGCCGAAGACTACAAAGCCAACCGGATCGCCACCGCCAAGGCAACTAGGGCGGCTTGAAAGTCACAAACGCCCCGGAACCCCGTCGCCAACATCCAATTCCTTCAAACATGCTGCCAACGCACATTCCGCGCGTGAATCGGCCTCGTCGGACATTTTCGGGTAGAATGGAACAAAACTCCGACGGCGTCAAGCTCTCCAAGAGCGAATGCACATGAAG